GAGTTCAGTAAGTGGGAGGGGGGATTGTTCTTCCAAGGGCTGGACCGTGCATGGGGAGACGGGGAGCCCCTTGTCCCATGTTCCCCTGCCACCCCTGTGCATGCACGGGACAGGCAGGGAAGAAATCAAAAGCTACGGTCCCGCTGCGTTGCCTCCGGGAGGAAAATCAAGATGGCCCATTTACTCTCCATTTCCTTGAGAAAAACTTCTGGGCGTGTGGGGGGAGGAGAGGTCGGGTTTGCAAAACAGATTGGTGCCTCCAAGTCAGTCTTCACTCCTGGACAATTTACCGCAAATTTCTTGGCCCCGTTTTCAAAAGGGCTTCTTCCTCTTTTCTAAACCGAGAGAAGCGACTGCTCTCACCTGCTGGCTTTTTGTGCAAAGGTGCGCAAGGATTCGAACTTGCGTTCCCGCTTTGTCACCAGCTTGCTTTGCCATCAGGCAAATGGGGAAAGTGTTGCATGAACGGAGGTGGAATGCAGGCTAGGATGCATCATTCACACTATATACAAGTAGTTCCTCAACTTGCGATCACAGTTGAGCCCAAAATTTCTGTTGCTAAGTGAAACGTTAAGTGAATTTTGCTCCATTCAATGACCTTTCTTGTGTAGTAATACCATAGTTAAATGAATCTGGCTTCCCCATTGACTTTGCTTGTCAAAAGATTGCACAAAGTTATCACATGACCTCGGGACACTGAAACAGTCGTAAATATGAGTCAGTTGCCAAGCATCTGGATTACAATCGTGACCGTTAGGATAGCAATAGCACTTAGACTTATATACCGCTTTATAGTGCTTTACAGCCCTCTCTAAGCGGTTTTACAGAGTCAGCATATTGCTCCCAACAATCTGGGTCCTCATTTTACTCACCTCAGAAGTACGGAAGGCTGACTCAACCTTGAGCCTGGTGGGATTTGAACAGCTGATAGTCAGCAGAAGTGGCCTGCAGTACAGCACTCTAACCACTACACCACTGAGGATGCCACCAAGGATGCTGCAACAGTCACAAGTGTGAAAAACAACTCACTTTTTTCATGCCGTTGTAACTGAACGGTCACTAAATGAACTGTTGTAAACTGAGGACTACCTGTACTATATTAGCCACTCTTTTTTTCAAACTTGGCCAGGGTAAATGCCAGGAGTTTTAAGTCCATATACATCTTACGTTGGCCAAGTTTGAAAAAAGACTGGATTAGTTTAAAAGCAGGGAATCTCTATGATGTGCTTCAATCAAAGCATCGTGTTTAAAACCTACATGGTTGATTCACTTGGATATTAGTTCTATATGCATTGTATGGTGGTTTCTTAATTCTGGCTTCTGGAGTTGACCCAAGGGTTTGGACCAGAAGGTTGATGGGTTTCTGCTGGCTGGAAGTTCAAATATTGATTGATTTACTATTAAATTGATTTAGATAGCCACTCATTTCAATTGCTATTTGGGACTTGAGACATTTATGATCTGGATTGTACAGAGGTTGTTTTTAACATTGAAAACAGCCATCAAAATTATTTGAATAGATCATTAGGATATAGACACATATTTTAGTTATCCATACTTTTGGATACTATACTATATACTACTTTTGAATACTACTAATACTACATCCAAAATGTAGTTATCCAATACTTTTAGTCCTTGACAGAAGTTGATCCAGAAGCTTACTACAGAATTTTCTCCACACACAGATAAATCAGTCTACCTACTAAGATTTTCCCCCTCTTCCCAGATATTGGTAGGTTCCTAAGAATTTCTTACTTGGGTTTTTATAGCTGCTCAGTTGTTAAATTGGTCAAGCTGTATTTGCAGAAGTTTCTTTTGTTTTCTATTTCAGATATGTAAGTTAGAAGTCTTTCCTGATTCCTCCGGAGATTAAAGGATCTTTTGAGAGAAGAGGACTGAATGGCCTTGGCAGCTTTTTCCAGACCTTTTGTGATTAGTAAGACTTGGGGAGGTCCATCAGTCCATTTTGGAGCGGGATTAAAGACCAGAGAAAAGATGGAGAGACAGTGGCCAGCACATGCAGAAGTTGGAAAAGGCCCTCCAGTTACTCAGCCTTGGAGCTGTGGGAAGAATGGAACAAGTCCTGGGCAGAAGAGCCAAGAAGAGGACGCTGACAGACCACAAGTCAAACACTTTCACTTCAGAAAAATGCAGTTCCAGGAGGGGAGGGGTCCCCGAGATGTTTGCAGTCAGCTTCACCACCTTTCCTGTCAATGGCTGCAGCCGGAAAGACACGAAGGCTCAGATTCTGGACTTAGTATGCCTGAAGCAGTTCCTTTCTCTCCTTCCCCCAGAGATGGAGAAATGGGAGTGTGGAGTGGAGACCACTTCCCAGGCGGTGGCCCTTGCTGAAGGGTTCTTGCTTAGTCAGGAGTCAGAAAAGATGCAAAAGGAGTTGCAGGTGTAAGAATGTAATTGTGGCAGCTTTAAAATGGAATTCTCCAAATTGTCTCTCTGGTACTTTTAGGCGATTATGAACTCCTAAGCCAGTTGTTCCATTCTTCTTCCAGAGGATATATTTGGGGCAATTCTTACATTCTCAGTTTCCAGCTTCAGCAATAGACATTGGGGGTCTGCCAGGTTGAGAGTGCAGTACGATAATTCGTTTTTATCTCTTTGTTCTTCCCTTCTTCCTCGTGTTACGTTATGTCCAGAAATCCTTGGAAGCGGTGACTGAGTATGCCAAGGAAAGGAAATATTCATCCAAACCTTCTCAAGAGCTGCTGTTTAGGGAGAGCTTCCAGAAAAATGAAAGTCAGGACAGCACATCAGGTAACAAAAGCTCTTTCTGTGTGGTGTGATTTCAACATTTAGCTTCTTCCTTGCTCCTCTTGATTAGAATCTCTTTCTTTTACAAATCTGCTTTCACCATTTTTCTCTCTCTCACAGAGAGTAGAAAGCTGTCCTTGGTGATTTTTAGAATCACCTCGTCTTTGTGGTGAAGCTGAAAGAGTAGCTGAACCCATGCCTCAGGTAAGGAGGAGAAACATCAGAAAAAAATTCATGAAGCCTGGGTGGGTTTCATTTTGTGCTGGAGTTCAGTGTACAGCAGGGGTCCCCAACTCTTGCTCCGTGGATCAACATCGGTCCGTGGCATGCCAGAAATCGGGCCAATCAAACAAGCAAAGCTCCATCCACAGCACATGAAACCATACCCCCCTCCAGTCTATGGAAAAAACTCTTCCCCAGGACCGGTCCCTGGTGCCCAAAACGTTGGTGGCCGCTGGTGTATAGTATTGCTGTTTCTAAGCAGCACAAATGTTGGATCAGGTCATTAAAATTTAACCTACCTGTTCCTTCTGATAAGCTTTCTCCACTCTCCTGCTTTGGACTTAGATTTCACTGACCAAATATTGTCTCGACTGGAGGTCTTCCTTCTGTCTCCCAGGGCCATTCTCATCTACCATTACAACTTCACCCAACACTTCCATGAAGGTGTGGAATGGGGGCAGAGTTGTTCCCTCACTGGATAAAGTAAGCCATTGGCAAAAAGTGTCAGGAGGGTTTCACTAGTATTTTGCTCTGCCCAACCTAGGAAAAATTAGACCACTGACAAAATAGTAGGTTTAAGACCTAACCACCAATTTTAACCCAGAAGACTTTTTATTCCATTCCCTTTACTGAAAGGTAGATTCTACAGCCAGATCCAGCAGCAAACTTTAGTTGTGCCATTAGTCAAAAGCTGTGAGATCTTATTTTGAATTCTGCACAAGATGTCCATTTCATCCATTGCATCTCTCGCCTTGAATTGGTGGAAGAAAACTGTCAAATTGTTCTTGGGATTATCTGTTAATAGGGAAACTTGTTTCCTTGCTTAGGATGTTGTGTCTTTTGAGGAAGTGTCTGTGTATTTCTCCAAGGAGGAGTGGTCACAGCTGGATGCTGACCAAAAAGCGCTCCACAGAGAAGTCATGTTGGAGAATTCCAGGAATCTGGCTTTTCTGGGTAAGAAACCCTGTTTGTGCTCAGAAACATAGAGAAGCCATGGGGTTAGATGCAACCAGGTGTGTTTTTAATATATAAAATAGCACTTTTTAAATTTATATACTGCCCTGTATTACTTTTTTAGTGCAGGTAACCAAGTTACAACAAGCCATTTAATGAGCATTCTAAATTACGACAGACCAATACCCCCCCAGCCCCCCGAAAGCTACATATCACCCCGTTTCAAGGTTAAAATAAAATGGCGGCTGTATTTGGGCTGCTACCGCATGTCCCAGAGACAAACTGCTTTTCTTTTTTTTTGCTGCCTTAACAAGCTCCACACAATGTTGAAGCTTTCAGCTGCATACATAAACTTCTGCAACACTCTACCAACTTTTCTAAGGCAGCAAATGAAGCAATTTATCTGGCGGCTGCCATTTTGTCCCACCCACAAGTTGAGTGGCCACCTCTCTCTCCCCATCTCAATTTGCAAGAATCCTTCAGTGCTTGAGCTTGCTCCTCACAGGCCCATCACAAACTGCACATTTATTTTCTGAAGCTCTCTGGACCTCATGTTGTAGAAAAAGGACAGAGCATGTGTCCTGGTGCTACATGGTGGCAAATCCAAATGCAGCCGCCATTTTGTCCCACTCATTTGTGGGTGGAACAAAATGGCAGCCACCAGAGAAATTGCTTCATTTTGCTGGCTTAAGAGAAGTCGGCCCAGTGTTGCAGAAGCTTCTGGATGCAGCAGAAAGCTTCAGCACTGTGC